CAGTGGCATGATCTCAGTCACTGCAACCTCCACCTCTCGGGTTCAAGTAATTCTCCTGCCTCAGCCTCCCGAGTAGCTGGGATCACAGGCGCACACCACCATGCCTGGCTAATTTTTGTATTTTTAGTAAAGACAAGGTTTCACCATGTTGGCCAGGCTGGTCTCGAACTCCTGACCTCAGGTGATCCACCTGCCTCGGCCACCCAAAGTGCTGGCAGTACAGGCATGAGCCACCATGCCCAGTCTGTTTTTATTTTTTTGAGAGAGGCTATTGTTCTATTACCTAGGCTACAGCACCATGGCACAATCTCATCTCACTGTAGCCTTGACCTCCCAGGCTTAAGCAATCCTCCCATTTCAGCCTCCTAAGTAGCTGGGACTAGAGGCACGTGCCACCATGCCGAGCTAATTTTTTCTATTTTCTGTAAAGACGAGGTCTTGCTATGTTGTCCAGGCTGGTCTCGAACTCCTTGGGCTCAAGCTATCCTCCTGCCTCGGCCTCCTAAAGTGCTGGGATTACAAGTGTGAGCCACCGTGCCTGGCCTTGTTTTTTTTGTTGTTGTTGACACAGGGTCTTTACCCAGGCTGGAGTGTAGTGGCACAAACATGGCTCACCAAAGCCTCAACCTTCTGGGCCTAAGTAATCCTCTTGTCTCAACCTCCTAAGTAGCTGGAACCACAAGTGTGTGCCACCATGCCTAGCTAATTTTTTTAAATTTTATTTTATGTAGAGATGGAGAATCGCCATGTTGCCTAGGCTGATCTTTAACTCCTAGGCTCAAGCGATCCTCCCACCTTAGACTCCCAAAGTGTCAGGATAACAGGCGTTAGCCACTGCACCTGGCAAAATGTTGTTTTGTTTAAGGAATAGTAGCTGACTTTTGATTTGGCCTGATTTGTATTTGGTTTGTTCAATAATTAAGATGCGGGCCAGGCACGGTGGCTCATGCCTATAATCCCAGCACTTTGGGAGGCAGAGGTAGGCGGACCACCTGAGGTTGGGAGATCAAGACAATCCTGGCTAACATGGTGAAACCCCGTCTCTAGTAAAAATGCAAAAAATTAGCCAGGCGTGGTGAAACATGCCTGTGATCCCAGCTACTAAGGAGGCTGAGGCAGGAGAATCGCTTGAACCCAGGAGGTGGAGGTTGCGGTGAGCCCAGATCACGCCATTGCACTCCAGCCTGGGCAACAAGAGCGAAACTCCATCTAAAAATAAATAAATAAATAAGATGCAGATAATATTTAAAACACTTCGGCTTTCTTTGCAAATAAATACCTTTATATATATATATATATATATATATATAGTAATTTCTTTGATCTAAGCACTAAACAATCATTAAGCAATTAGTTAGCATTAAAGCCTGGATAGATGAGAAGCGGGCCAAGAAAAGATCCATTTCACCTCAACAGTACAGCATAATGGTTTAGTCAACATAATGTTGAAACCATTCACAACTATTTCAGAGCTTTGGTGAATGATGCTGCTACTATGGTTCAGAGAAAGACACTGACAGCAACAAAATATCATTGTGCAACTACTGAAGTGATAGTGAATGAATGAACAGGCTTTACAACAATACTTCTTTTTCTTTGCTTTTCCTGTTCCTCTCAATTAACCATGTTAAAACTACATCTGAAAACTAGACTCGCTCAAACAGGTAAGTAATAACTCAAATCACCACTACTTTTTTCTAATGTCAAAAGATATTAGATATATTCCAGGTATACTAGAATATACCTAGCTTTTTTTTTTTTTTTTTTGAGACAGAGTCTACTCTGTCGCCCAGGCTGGAGTGCAGTGGCACGATCTCGGCTCACTGAAACCTCTACCTCCTGGGTTCACACCATTCTCTTGTCTCAGCCTCCCAAGTAGCTAGGATTATAGGCATGGGAAACCACACCTGGCTAGTTTGGTATTTTTAGTAGAGATGGGGTTTCATCATGTTAGTCACACTGGTCTTGAACTCCTGACCTCAGGTGATCCACCTGTGTTGGCCTCCCAAAGTGCTGGGATTACAGGCGTGAACCACCGCGCCCCGCCAAGACCTAGCATTTAAAAGTGATACACCTAGGCTAACAGCTGCCAAATACTTACATTAAATCTCACAAAGTAAAGCTTCTAACACTTCCTCCCAAAATATCAGCCTTTAAAATTAAAATTACATATTCTGATTAAGAGTAACTCTATTTCTAATATTTTTAAATGTGAAAAATAACATGTATGATTGATGGCCTAAGGTTTTTGGTAGCATTCTTTAAGAAAAGTGTCTTCGACCAGCCTGGCCAACATGGTGAAACCCCGTCTCTACTAAAAATACAAAAATTAGCCAAGCATGGTGGCACACACCTGTAATCCCAGCTACTTGGGAGGCTGAGGCAGGAGAATCAGCCACCATGCCCAGCCTGTTTTTATTTTTTTGAGAGAGGCTATTGTTCTATTACCTAGCTCCAGCCTGGGCATCAGAGTGAGACTCGATCTCAAAAAAAGAAAAAACTAGTGTCTTCCTGTGGCTGACCATGGTGGCCATCACCTGTAGTCTCAACTACTCTGCAGGCTGAGGTAGGAGGAATCACTTGAGCCCAACAGGTCGAGGCTGTGGTACACTATGATCATTCCTGTGAACAGCTACTGAACTCTAGCCTGGGCAACATAGTGAGGACCCATCTCTTTAAAAACAAACAAACAAAAAAAGGGCCAGGCGCAGTGGCTCACGCCTGTAATCCCAACACTGTGGGAGGCTGAGTCGGGCGGAACACGAGGTCAGGATTTCAAGAGCAGCCTGGCCAACATGGTGAAACTCTGTCTCAACTAAAAATACAAAAATTAGCTGGGCATGGTGGCACACACCTGTAATCCCAGCTACTTGGGAGGCTGAGGCAGGAGAATCGCTTGGACCTGGGAGGCAGAGGTTGCAGTGAGCCAAGATCACACCATTGCACTCCAGCCTGGGCATCAGAATGAGACCCTCAGTAAGTAGGTAGGTAGGTAGATAGACAGATAGACAGACAGACAGGGAGGAAGGAAGGAAGGAAGGAAGGAAGGAAGGAAGGAAGGAAGGAAGGAAGGAAAGAAAAAGGAAAGAAAGGTTTCTTTCTCAAAAACTAATGCTTTCTCTTGTGTCAAGTTGCTCACTATAATCAGAAAACTCTAGCACATACATATAGTTTTACCAACTTTCTTATTGCTTTCTACAGAACGTGGATCATAAGTTTTCTAACAAATTTTGAATCCTTTCATGTATTCCTAAATAATACTGTTAATGTTTTTATTTATTTATTTATTTTTTTGAGACGGAGTCTCTCTCTCTTGTGCAGGCTGGAGTGCAGTGGCATGATCTTGGCTCACTGCAACTTCCGCCTCCCGGCTTTAAGCAATTCTCCTGCCTCAGCCTCCTGAGTAGCTGGGACTACAGGCGCGCACCACCACGCCCAAATAATTTTTGTATTTTTAGTAGAGACAGGGTTTCACCATGTTGGCCAGGATTGTCTCTATCTCGACATCGTGATCCTCCCGCCTCGGGCTCCCAAAGTGCTGGGATTACAGGCGTGAGTCAGAACACCCGGCCCAAGTAATACTGCTAATGATTTAACCTACACGTCCTAAGGATGACATACTATTTGTATGTATAACACTTCTATTTAGATTTGTGTGTGTGTGTGTGTGAGACAGTCTCACTCTGTCACCCAGGTTAGAGTGCAGTGGTGCGATCTCAGCTCACTGAAACTTCCATCTCCTGGGTTCAAGTGATTCTCCTGCATTAGCCTCTCTAGCAGCTGGGATTACAGGAATCCACCACCACACCCAGCTAATATTTGTATTTTTAGTAGAGATGGGATTTCACCATGTTGGGCAGGCTGGCCTCCAACTCCTGACCTGAGGTGATCCACCTGCCTCAGTCTCCCAAAGTGCTGGGATTACAGATGTGAGCCACCATACCCAGCCTATTTAGATGTTTTACACACTAACGATATTCAAAATATTGATCCTATATTCAAAAATAAATCCAAAACATAGACTCTATTTTTTAAAAAAGTATTAAAAATTATTATACTATAAAACTATTTCATGGCCAAGCAAGGTGGCTCACACCTGTAATCCCTGCACTTTGGGAGGCTGAGACAGACAGATCACCTGAGGTCAGGAATTCGAGACCAGCTTGGCCAACATGGTAAAACCTCATCTCTACTAAAAATACAAAAAAAAAAAAAATTAGGCATGGTGACATGTGCCTTTAGTCCCAGCTACTTGGGAGACAGAGCGAGGCGCTGTCTCAAAATAACAACAACAACAAACTATTTCATCATATATTTGAGGATCTGGTTTTTTAAGCAAGTCGTCTACTCACTTTCCCTACCTTGCTCCAAAAGCATAAGCAGGAATCATATGTTAAATAACACCTTCCTGAACTTTGTCAAGGAAGTCCGTGAAAAATACAGATTAAGATATAGCTATAAATAAAAATTAAAATTAAAATTTACAACTGCAAATCAAAAAGTAAACTATGGCTGGCTAAGCTTACCCCTAAATTCTAATTCTAAAGGAAGATTTCTCCAAACAGCAGGTGGATGAAATTTCAATGAACATCAAAGAACGCTACAGAAGAGGGTAAAAAATGTGTTAACTTTCCTTGGGAGTCCATCATGGTGACCCTGAGGGGTTACTAAGAATGAAATAATGATTTAGAATAGAATGCTTCGAAACAGCAATGGCAGAGTATTAACAAATGTATTAACACTTTAAAACAAACAATCCAGTTGTCCCCGGCCCACTTTCTTATTTTAGTCCTAGCACATGAGTCACATAACTTGCAGACTGATAACAAGAAGTCCCCGCTGTTGTGTCCTCATGTCAATGACAGAGGCAACTCTCCTTTATTATATTTTCAAAAGGTGAAATGTATGAAATTTCTGGGTAGGGGGAGATACCAAATGTCTGTGTGCCTACAGTTATTAATAAGTTAACTACCAAGTAACTACGGAATAAATAATGCTTAAAAAGAGGGCAAAGATTAGGCTTTAGGGTAACAATAATTGGACCCTCCCAGATAATTCTAATTCATTGAACGCTTGCATAACTCGAAGTTGAGAAAAAATTTTTGAGGAAATATCTCGAGTACCAGAAGTTAGTCCAATGCAAAGTACAAGTACTACTAAAAAGGATCCGGCCCTTTCCACTACTCACATCTTAATGTAATGCATAAAGGGAGCGAAGACTGCGAGTGCCCAAAAAAATGCAGAAACCTGACCTTGCCCACAAGTCGAATAGTTCTGCACCCCTCCCCCAGCTTCCCCGGGAGCCAGTTCACGCAATCCCAATTGGTCAGTCTGCTTATTCCAGCACCTGCCTGGCAGTGACAAGAGAATCTCCAGGGGAAGACGAGAAGGTCTGAAAGGAGGCGGCCTGGGAAACTGTGAGGCCCAGAAGGACAGGGTTTGAAAAGGAAAAGGAGAGAACCTTCGAAGGGATGAGGGCGGGCGGTTAGGGGCTAATGGGAACATGGCTTGCGAGGACGGCTGGGGAACAGGGAAAGGAGATCTCTGGAGGGCCCAGGTGAGGTGACAGGATGAGGGCCGCCGGCGGGCAGCCAAAAGAGAAGAGCGAAGGGGCTGGAAGGCCTAGAAACACACGCGGAGAGAGGCGAGAGGAGCTGTGAGGCGCGAGAAGGACCCAGGCTGCAAAGGTTAGCGCTGCAGGGGCGACAGGGGCTGCAGGGGCAGGGAGGGCAGGGACTCAGGGGCCGGCCCTAGAGTGCGGACTCACGTTCTCCCACCAGCAGGATCCGCACGTCTTTCTTCATGTCGGCGGCTCTCGGGGGCCGGCCTCCGCCCGCACGCATGGAGTGGACTCCTCTCACCGGGAGCGCCCACCCCACGGCGCCACCTGCCAGCCTCTTCGGCCGCCGGGGCCCGCCGCGCCGCCCCCTCAGTTGCTTCCCTGCAAGAGAGCTGGGACAGCACCAGCTCCGCCTCCTCCGGCCCAGCGGGCGGCGGCGGCGGCGGCGGCGGCGGCGGGGACGACGGCACGCGGCGAGGGACACGCGCTTTCGGAACGCGAACTCTCTCCGCGCCGGAACAGCGTTCCCGCGGCCACGCAGCCGCAGCGCAGGCCCAGGGAGCCTCACCCACCCTCCTCTGGGCACCGCGACCCGGGAGACGCTTGGGCCCGGAATTTGAATGGCGGATTCCCTGGTTTAACCCCATTTATTTTATAGACAGGGACAGAAATTCCCTGTTCAAAGTCACATAGCTAGAGCTTGGCAGTGACTCAGAGCAGGGATCTTCTCACCAGACTCTCAACTCTGGGAGAGCAGCAATCTGCTTGCATGGTTTTCGGTTGCGTCCCCACGTTATTGGACAGAGCCCTCAGAAAATGCTTGATCGAATAGGGCGACTGGCTCCCAGGATCCGGCGCTTTCCACTTTCGAAAGTCCGTCACCCTAGTTGCTTTTGCCTGTGATGCTTGTAAAATACGATTTAAGATTCGTTTTTATGCTGTGTGAACAGACTCCTTTCTTTATAACCAAACTAAGTGACTTTTTTTTCTGTCTATGTAGTTTATTTTATGGCAGGGTTTTCGGATACTCTACTCAGGCTTACCCGGCGTAATGCTAGACACGGAGGTGGCACTGGATAATAAACTCTAAATGATTTTTCTAACATTGCCTTAATTTTCTCTTGACCCTCTCCATCTGGAGGAATTTGTTGCTACATGCTTAATGTTTGGTACACGATGAGAAATATATATATATATACACACACACACACGCGCGTGCGAATATGCGTCACATCCCTAATGCTTGGCACACAGTGGGAAATATAAAACACATAAATTAATGAGGAGGCACTATCTGTGCATAATGTACCTTTTTTCTATCTTAAATATTACGTAATGAACATTTAAAGGGAATGAAATGTGCCTAATACCAATCTCCCTTTCGCGTAGGAGAAGTCACGTGGTCTCTTGCAGCAGTTAAGAGTTGCTGGCAAATTTCCTGGGTTTGAATCTGGGCTCCACATAATAGCTCTGTGATCCTAAGTAAGTGCTTTTATTTTTACTTCTCTCAGCCACTGTTTCTTCTTCTGTAGCATGGAAATAATGATGATAATACCTTCCTCTTGAGATGGTTGTTAGTAATAAATACCATAATACTTGTTAAGCAGTTGATACAGTGCCAGACTCAGAGTGTGTGCCCTATTGATCTCAGCTATCATTATCATATTAAAAAGTTATTAAAAAGTTTTAATCCACAGGTTTTTTTGTTTTTTGTTTTTTGTTTTTTTTGAGACTGAGTCTTGCTCTGTTGCCCAGACTGGTGTGCAGTGGCGCCATCTCGGCTCACTGCAAGCTCCGCCTCCTGGGTTCATGCCATTCTCCTGCTTCAGCCTCCCGAGTAGCTGGGACTGCAGGTGCCCGCCACCACACCCGGCTAATTTTTTTGTATTTTTAGTAGAGACGGGGTTTCACCATGTTAGCCAGGATGGTCTCGATCTCCTGAATGGAAATGTGAAGTTCAGGAGGCTTGGTTACCTGATCTTTCAGGGAAAAGTAGCCCTCAGAATTTTAGTGTTACAAAATGTTTGAGTTGGAAGAACCCTGATAGAGCCCCTATTCCAATCCCATTACTCTGTAGATAAGAAAAGCAAGGCCCACAGAGACACAGTGACCTGGCACAGATGGCATGGCTGAGGCTGAGCTTTGTTCTGCCATTCCTAGTGCATACTCTAGGGCAACTCATGTCACCTAGTTGTGCCTCAGTTTCCTCTCTACCAAGTGAAGGCTATGATCTCTTCCTTATGAAGTTGTTTGGAGGAGCTCATAAAATAATGTATTTTATGTGAATAATGTATTTCATATGAGTAATGTAATGAACTATAAATCTTTTTCCTTAAAAAAAAAGTTATACAAATATCAGAGCACAGAGGACAAAAGCCTTTTACAGAGGGGCAAATTATTTAGGGCACTGCTTGCACCACACAGCTTTGTGAAGAATCTCGGAGCTAGCCTAGGAGCTCTCAATCAGCGTTGCCAGTTAATGACAATGTTGATTCATTGGGGCTTCTCCAGGAGGGTGAGCAGTAACAAGGTCTTCATGGGGTTGTAGATGTGTACTGGGTAATGTCTGGTAGGCAGGGGCTGGGAAAAAGCATTTATTTAGAGGGATATCACAGAGATAATATTGCAAAGAACTCCTTTGTAAATAAAACTTACTTAAAAATCCATATCCAGTCAGGTATGCTGTTTCAACACCTATAATCCCAAAGCTTGGGGTAGCTGAGGTGGGAGGAGCTCTTGAGGCCAGGAGTTCAAGACAAGAAACATCGAAACCCCATCTCTACAAAAAATAAACAAATTAGCTGGGCGTGGTGGCATGCACCTGTAGTTCTAGCTGGGAGGCTGAGGTGGGAGGATCACTGGAGACCAGGAGTTGGAGGCTGCAGTGGGCTATGATCGCACCATTGCACTCAAGCCTGGGTGACGGAGCCAGAGTCTGTCTCTAAATAAAAAAAAATAAAAATCTGACTAGGGCACAATAGCTCACACCTGTAATCCTAGCACTTTGGGAGGCCGAAGTGGGAGGATCACTTGCGCTCAGGAGTTTGAGAGCAGCCTGGCCAACATAGCGAAAACCCGCCTCTACTAAAAATACAAAAGTTAGCTGGGTGTGGTGGCGCATGCCTGTAATCCCAGCTATTCGAGAGGCTGAGGCAGGAGAATCGCTTGAACCCAGGAGGTGGAGGTTGTAGTGAGCTGAGATCACACCACTGCAGTCCAGCCTGGGTGACAGAGTGAGACTCCATCCAGAAAAAAAAAAAACCTCACTCAATAACTGCAGAAAAGAGGCAACATCAAGCACTTTCAGCGAGCAATGGATATGGTTTGGTACAAACTGAGGCCAGCACTTGCTAAAGTTGGGGAGAGGGAGTCTGGTATGCCAGGGTTTGCCTCCCCTGCAATGTAAGTTTCTTTCTACAGTCCGCAGCCATCTCCTGATCATCTATACGTCTGCCAGTTTGACTCCCTAACTCGCCTTGAACCTTATGCCCTCCTTATGATGTTAACAAATGTCCACTAGGGGTCACTCTGATGTTCTCCTGGAGACAGCACAGGTCGGTGGTTAAAGCAGGGAAGCTTGGCTGGGGATGAGAGGATTGCTTGAGCCCAGGAGTTCGAGACCTGCCTGAATAACATAGGGAGACCCTGTCTCTACAAAAGAATTTTAAAGAATTAAGCCGGGCGCCGTGACTCACGCCTGTAATCCCAGCACTTTGGGAGACTGAGGTGGACAGATCACCTGAGGCCAGGAGTTCGAAACTAGCCTGGCCAACATGGTGAAATCCTGTCTTCACTAAAAATACAAAACTTAGCTGGATGTGGTGGTGGGCGCCTGTAATCCCAGCTACTTGGAAGGCTGAAGCATGAGAATCTCTTGAACCCGGGAGGCGGAGTTGCAGTGAGCCGACATCGCATCACTGCACTCCAGCCTGGGGGATAGAGTGAGACTCTGTCTCAAAAAAAGAAAAGAAAAGAAAAATTAAAGAATTAATTGGATGTGGTGGCACACACCTGTAGTCCCAGCCACATGGGAGGATTGCTTGAGCCTAGGAGGTCGAGGCTGCAGTGAGTTGTGATCGTACCACTGCACTCCAGTCTGGGTGACAGAGTAAGACCCCATTTCTTTTTTTTTTTTTTTTTTTTTTGGGACGGAGTCTCGCTGTGTCACCCAGGCTGGAGTGCAGTGGCCGGATCTCAGCTCACTGCAAGCTCCGCCTCCCGGGTTTTTCTGCCATTCTCCTGCCTCAGCCTCCCAAGTAGCTGGGACTACAGGCGCCCACCACCTGCTAAAGTTGGGGAGAGGGAGTCTGGTATGCCAGGGTTTGCCTCCCCTGCAATGTAAGTTTCTTTCTACAGTCCGCAGCCATCTCCTGATCATCTATACGTCTGCCAGTTTGACTCCCTTTAGGGCACTGCTTGCACCACACAGCTTTGTGA